TATGCTAGTTATAGGCTTAATACCTTGGAAACACCTTTGCATGTATAATTAGTGAAAACAAAGATCCAAGGTATTTAGGGTTGTATGTGCACCATAGGATGTTGTATTATACTAAAACGCAACACTACCGACTCGTCGAGTAGGATCTAAATCCCGCGTCCTCATATATGATCTCTACTCGACGAGTTGGAGCTAGCATAAAACCCTAAAAATTGGAAAAATTAGATGATACCTGGAATGGGTGTTACATACTTTCTTCCAGGAAATTTGGTGAACTCTCCACCATGGTACAAGCTAATGGAAAAGATTGTCCGATGCCCCCTGTGAAATAACCCACTTCAGATTAGGTTTCAACAAAATCGAAGTTATAGAAGATTGAGAGTGAAAGACTACTTATAGTAACGACGTCCAACATCGATTTCCTCCATATTTGCATAAATACGCCACAACACCATGGCGTTTCAGAGAGGAAGGTACGACAATTAGAGTTTTGCTGATCTTTAGTGTGTGAAATTTTTGTGTGGGTTTTTTTGAATGGAGAGATGGAGTACTGAGAAAATGATCGCCCCTTCGTATACAACATAGCGGTAACACTCTAGAGTATTAAAAAGACAAAAATTCCTCTGCGTGCCTTGCAGGTGGGGTGTTTAACGGAGAAACTAGATGGAATGTTAAGTGAGGGACTAGGCGGGTTACAAATTTTAAGATTAGGGGTCTTCCAAGTTAAAAATCTTGCACAGGGACTAAGCGTGCAGGTTCCCCCAACCCACATGGACCATCTATGTAATTTATCCTTTATAGTATTAAGTACGAATAATTACTTAAAAAGGTAATATACTTTTCGATTTGTACACATTTGGTCACTGAGTTTTTTTTCGTCCATATTCGCCTCTTCAACTTGTTTAACTGTACACATTCAGTCCTAATGACCGACTACTCCAGGTAAGCAAGAAAAATGACTTAATAGTGTAATATATTTTTCACTATGTATACATTTAGTCCTTAATATTCTTTGCACATTTAGTCCTTAATTTTTTATTTTATTATTATTATTTCTTTTGCAAAATAAGCCTTTGTTATTTTTGTACACATTCAATACTTATGACCGGTTTCTTTAGGTTTTTCTCACGACATCTTACGTTGAATAAGCATTAATGCGGTGTGTAAGGTTGTTAATGCTTATGGTCACCGCGGCCTTGGTTGCTTGGTTGCTTAAATCTTGTGTTCTGAACGTGTTAACTTATTCATACGATCTCAAATTTTAACGATATTTATATCCATACGTTCGTATTTTAGTCTACTACAACTTTTATTTAGATTACCTCCCTTAAAAAAGAATATATTGTACTTACGATTTTATAAAAAAATGTTTATATATACATTTATAAAGAACGCATGTATATAAAAATCATATGTAAAATATATTAATTTTTAACGTGAGTAATCCAAACGAAAGTTGTAGTAAACTCAAATATGAACGCATGGATATAAAGATCGTTAAAATTCGAGATCGTATGAAGAAGTTACGACGTTCAGAACACAAAACCTAAACCAAACCATGAGACCTAACCAACCAAGCCGTCGGGGACGCGGTGACTATAAACATCAACAGCCCCGGTCACATCATTAATAATTGTCTCACGTAGGATACCGTGAGAAAAACTTAAAGAAACCGGTCATAGGTACTGAACAAAAACAACAAGGACTTATTTTGTAACAAAAAATATTAAAGACTAAATGTGCAAAAAACTATTAAGGACTAAATGTGTACAAAGTGAGAAATATATTACCCTATTAAGTCATTTTTTACGGTTTACCTGGGGTAGCCGGTTATAAGGATTGAATGTGTACAGTTAAACAAGTTAAATGAGAAAATGTGGACGGAAAAAACTCAGTGACTAAATATGTACAAATCAAAAAATATATTACCCTTTTAAGTCATTATCCCTATTAAATATTAACAATCAATCTAGAAATATAACTTTTTAAATGTAAGAAAAAAAAAAAGATTTATATACGAGTTATTCAAGGAAATCATGAAAAAATGGAATCCACAAATCCTAAAATTACCATCTTTACAACTTCTAACAAAAAGTGATCATTTAAATCACAAAACAGGTTTATGAATTACAATAATAATGATTTCATTTAATGAATTATGCATGAAACTTATCAAATTTGTAAAATTTATTTACGTTAAATTGTTTGAACCAGTATATTTATGGTTTCACGAAATATACTTTACATTATAAATTGATTCCTTAGCTAAGAATATCCATATATGTTTTTGTCTCCTTTAAATTTTGATTCAATCAATATATTTGGCACGTCTGCATACCATCCTCGACATCTCTAGTACGACCTCCATGACCTATTTCGAGTTTTTTTTAGGTGAGTTTTTTTTTAGGTCTGTTTGTTGTTTATATGTTTTATTATGATGTATTGTTCAACTTGAGAATCAAGAACTTATGTTAGATTCATCAAGTTATACATAAAATGAAATACAATGGTTTTCTTAAAATGATTTATTCATTCGTATATGTTGATAAATTATATTCTAAGATAAATTATATTCTAAAATAGAATTATACACTAAAATGATCATAAAATAAACTCATGTATCACAAAACTCATGTATCACAAAATATTATGTTTTGAGGCTCCATCAATGATATAGTTTCTCTAAGGAAAGTGATTTCATAATTTATTCGTAAAGTCCATTAAATACGCATAGTTATTTTACGTTAAATTTTTCTAAACCACAAATTTTAAGGTATTCACGAATCACGATATTCACGAAATTCATGTATTTCTCGAACCTCATATCACTACAAAAAAAATGCAAGTGACGAAAACGAAATGGTCACTAACAATAGAAGGAGTCGTCACTAAATGATTTAGTGACCAAAAATTTGGTTGTCACTTTTCGTCACTATAGGTCCATCACAAATCTGATTAGTGATGAAAATATAAAAGTGGTCACTAAATAGTGACTAAAATATACTAGTCACTAAATCTATGACGACCCATTTCGTCACTAAATGTTGTCACTAATGAATGAAAGTCGTCACTATTTTTCCTAATTAATGACCATAAAAAGTTGTCACTGTCTCATCCGACTAGTGACCATTGAAAGTCGTCACTAGTGTATCCAATTAGTGACCATAGAAAGTCGTCACCGTTTTAACCAATTAGTGACCATAAAAAGTCGTCACTGATTTATCCACCTAGTTGCCATAAAAACTCGTCAAAAGATAAACATAAATTGTTCTAAAATTTGAACAAACCCACAATATACAGTACCGAAATGACTAAAAAGTAACATCATATATTCACATTTAGACAAAGTAAGGATTATACAAAATATTCAAAGAAGATGGATTCAACCTCTTCTTTACCATGAAAATACAAAAAATTTGAATCTCATTGCAAACAAAGAGTCGAAGACAAATAAGAGTAAGATAAGTAGATGTTAAGTTTCATTGCAATCCACGGCCTTTTTCTGCTGCTTTCAAGCATGATATGCCGTCCTTGACCTCTGCAATTAAAGTTGATGCTAATTATTAACTATAGACATTATAATGACAATTGACAACAACAATGTTTATAAAATGAAAGAGATTTAAAGAAATGTACTGCTTTTGTATCTTTAATGCGAAGGAGGTCCAACTTTTCTTGTGGTTTTTGATTTGTTAAAGTAGAAGCAAGTTGCATCTAGATGGTTATATATCATAAAGTCTACAATTTTGGTTATGATTTTATAAACTAAAAGCTCAAAGATTTTGTAATTATTCATACCAAAAAAGTGAGATCCCCTGTTGATGGCATCATAATATATGCTTTATGCAATTTTGCGAGTCTCATTTGATCTTTCAACAACATATAACAAAACCATAAGAGTGCAAGAGAAGTAATGAAAAAAGACATCAAAATGTAAAAGAGTTGTAAAAATTACCTCCTTGTGATTTGGCATTTCAAAGACACTTGCTAATTTTGAAAGATTTCTTGCAATACTTTATGAGGTTTCCATGCCCCATCATTTGAATGAAAAATTTCAAGAATTTATGAATTAATGGGAATTGGGGAAAATATATCTACCTCCTCTGATATCACAAAAGGCCTTGTGTTGCTCTCTTCAAGATATGCACAAAATATGCAAACTAATATTCATTAATCTATCTATATATATGTCAAAAAGACATTATCAAGAAAGAGATTAATGTTTACATGTAGTGTTAGCAGCAGCAAAAAGAAGAGCCCCAAAGAAGCGGGTTGAGGTTGGTGAGTCAAAGATGATGTGTTGACTATTCCTAGTCCAAGTGATGGAGTATAACATGGTGTTGCTTCTGGTTGTTTTAATGGCTGAAAAAACAAAATAACACTTCATTAACAAATAAAATTAATGATAGCAATTAACTTTTAAAACTTAAAACTAGTACTTATCGTTTGAAAACCACCTGTTCTAAGCATGGAAATCACTAGCTGATTAACTAGAAAACTCAAAATTATCGAAAAATAATGTAACATTTGTATGATTTGACTGGAGTTTGGTCTAGAATCTGGATCTTCCATCTAATTTGGCCTCACATTCTGAATGATAAAAAGCAAGTAAGTATTATAATTACACCCCTCTTGTTTTACTATTTTACCCTTTAGGTGATAATATAAAATTACTTTTTTACCTTGAAAGCTGCAGCATAAGTAGCTTGGAGGTTGTACATACCCTCAAAGGGTAGTTTGTTGTGTAAAAGTTCCCATGATACAATTACAAAGCTATAAGCATCTACTTTCTGGTTGTAATGCTTCTTTTCTCCTTGCCGTAGTGTCCTAGTACTATATAATTGTTAGAAAAAGAAAAAAGACATTTAAAACCTTTATCTTTGACAAAAAAAAAAAGATTAAAACATACAGTAAAAAATTACTCTGGAGTCTGGAGCCATCCAATGATATGCCCCTATTTTGGCAATCATTATCTCAGTAACTAATTGTATCTTATCTTGCTAATCCAAAATCTACAAGTTTAAGTGTTATTTGATCTTTTGTCAACATCAATTTTTCTGTAGAAAATTAGAAATTAAATTAATTGTAGGATTTAATAGATATCATTAGCCATGGGTATGTTTAGTTACATGGAATGGAATGACCATGGTAATGGAATGATTCATTACATTCCATGATCACGTTTGGTTGGAATTGAATTCCACGAGTTTCTGCAAGGAAAGTTGAATTTCAGGTTACAAGTGCAGGAGATTGGAATTGAATTCCATGACTTTATGTAAGGAAAGTTGAATTTTGTCGCTTGTAGGATTTAGTGGAATTCAACTCATTAATCATTTGCAACCAAATGTCGGAATGGAATGGAGCTGAATTCCAATTCAGGTATACTACTAATGCATAAAAAAACAAAAATAATAGAAAATCTTACCTCTTGAAGCTTTGGATTTATATCAATCATCTTTTGATCCAATTCTTTCGATCTAGTTTCCAAATCCTCCCTTAACATGAGTTTGAGATTCAATTCCAACCATAGTTTATCCACCTATAATAAGGAATACAACAAATGCAAACATGACATAATTTGATAAAAATTAATATTGCATACTACCTGCTTCTCCAACTCCTGGGAATGTGTGTGGGCTTTTTGATTCTGCTCCTTAGCATCTGAAGATCCTTTAACGTCATCAAACATAAGAACATAATAGATTTTATCATTTTGAAAGCATGTATTCATGGATGAAACAAAATGTGTATCAAAACCACAAGTACTATATTTTTAACAAGAAGAAAAGAGCAACTTTCATTTTTCATCTAATCTCAAGACAAGATAAAAGCTATAAGATGGAGATTAATGAGAAGAGAAAGAAATTTGAAAAATGATTGTATTCCTTTTCACGTAATTGACAACTATACTCGAATCAAAACATACAATGTGGAGAAATCAGCACACAATTTCATCAGAACATCACGATTTTAAGAAATCAACAAACAATTTCATATCAACGATTTCATTACCGATTTCTGAGAAATCGCCAATTTCATCAGATTTGGAGCATCGATTTCAGCAAAAATAAAGAGAAATCATGAAAAACTGAAGAACGGACTAGATACCTGAAGATGAGTCAGAGTTCTGCTGTGCGATGGTGGTGTCGGAGGCGTGGGAGGGTGGGACAGCCGGAGATGTAGGAGGCGACGGATGGAGCTGCGAATTTGGAAAGGAACGATGTGGAGGAGCGTCAACTGTTAGGCGAGAGAGAAGACGGTCACGTTTAGGTTAATGATAGAAAATAAAACTTTTAGCTACTATTTGGTAGAATGGAATCAGGGAGTCGATTGATTAGCTACTATGCGACATGTGAGCAATAGATGTAGATACATCGATGGTCGGAGCGGAGAAAAGAGTACCTGTTTGACATTGAGTGGAGAACAGAGGTGCGTCGATGGGAGGGTGTGGAGCGACGATAGACCGACGACATTGGTGCCGAACTGCCAATTGTTGGTATGTCGAATTAGGGCAAAATATGAGGAGAGATGTGTTGACGAGAGGCGGGATGACTTTTCACTCTAGAGTTTGAACATTACGATGAAAACATCATCTCAACGCTTTCCTCCGTATATTATAATAATGGAAAATAGAAAAAGGAAAAATAATTTCTTTATTTATGAAACACCATGAAAAAAAGGTCCAAAAATGATTTTAGGTCGTGTATATGTGAGAAGGGTAGTATACTAAATATGCTTAATAAAAGGGTTTTGGTTAGCTATGGATAGTGCTCAGGAACTTAGATAAGGACTAGTCAAATGTAATGAGCTTTTGGAAAATTATGTATGAAAGAAAACAAAAGCTCTAGTGACTATTATTTTGCGGTCACTAATAGTTTTTCATTTTGTAATTCGGTGACCACTATTGAGTGGTCAAATTTTATCTGCATAACTTTTAAGTCGAATAACAAAGAGTAGCTAGTGACCAATATTTTTGGTCACTTAACCTTCAATGAAGTGACCATTATTTTTTGTCATTAGCCCTCTAACACAGTGACCATTATTTTTAGTCACTAATAGTTATTATGATATGAAAGAAAGTATTTTAATTTTATTCATGGTTTAGTGACCGATTTAGTGACGACCACATAGAATTGGTCATTAAAATTGAAGGATTACCAAAATTCAGTGACGACTAAATATTTGGTGACTAAATGATGTTGTTAGTGACAAAAATTTAGGTAGTCACTAAAAAATTGGTCACTAATAAGGACTTTTCTTGTAGTGTATAATCATGAGCTTAAAAGAAATCATACCATTTTGTTACCTTTTTTTGTATATTTTTTTAATTAGTGTGTTTCGGTACACCTTCGGCATCCGGTTTCCTAAGGGGTTGTTTGATAGTTGTTGATTGAGTCAGATCTGACTGAGCCAGAGGCGTGACCGAGTTAGAAGATCTGACTGGGTCTATTCTGATTGAAACTATGTTGTTTGATAATGCATCTGAATGACTGTGCTGAATAATTAAAATAACCATATTACCTTTCTATTTTATTTTGTGTTGGATAAAATGTATCTTTTTGATAAATCATTTCAAATCCAAATATAACATGCATATAATTCATACATTTACAACATTATCAATTTAAAATTGCTATTTTATATTGCAATAAATAGATATTATAATTTTTTTTATTACTACTAGCTATAATATATCATTGTCTATGTAAACTAAAGAAAAACAACCATGATTCACATCACGATAACAAATGAGGATAAAGCAAAAAACTTTACTTCCACAACTTCAGTATATTCGATGAACTCTGCAAAACAAGTTTACTTCCACATCTTTACTGTCACTTGCACTCATCAATTACAATAAATACTTTTTATCAGCTTATCGTTTCAGTTGTGGAAGAATCTACCACTGATTCACTCTTATTGCTTCTTGTTTCATGTTTAGTTCCAAGAGTTATGGATCTGATTTGGTATCCAAAGATCCCATATGAAACTACAGAGATATTTGGATTAGAAATGCATAATGAAAAACTTCAGGGTCTACTTCTAGCAATGTATGAAGTTCCTACAACAGATCATAGTAAAATTGGAATTATTGAATAATAACAAGAAGAGATCAGTCATTATAAATGTATCATTGAAGATACAACTTGAAAAACCTAAAAACCTAAATAGCTCTTGTTTCATTTGTAATAAAGTAATGAATTAAACACCCAAAATCACTCGTATTATATAAAAAACATAAAATTGGTTTTTACCATCGTCTTCAGGGGACCAATATCATTTGTAACACAAACACATATATAGGGAATTAAACACGCGCGCACATGGATAGAGATATGGATCATATCTAAGTAAAAAGGCAAGGGAAAATAATGAAACCTTTTCAGCATCAATTTCATATGGTAGTGGAAAAGGTGCGATTTCATCATCGATTTCAGATAGTGTCGCCAAGGTCAAGATGATTTCAGATGGTATCCATTTGGTCAAGATGATTTTAGCATCTATAGGAAGAAGAGCAGAGCGAAGAGAGGAGAGAGGCATAGCAGGGGCAACAAAGTCAATTTCCCAGTCAACGTTAATTTTTGGATGACTCGGTAACTGATGTGTGGAACGAGTAAGAGGTTTAAGGGGGTGTTATCAAACATTATGACTTGGACCGGGTAATACATGACCTCTTACCGGACCCAGTAAGATGCTTATCAAACAAGGCCTAAGTTTTTAAGTCGTCTATTTTTTTAGTAACTTTTTTATTGTGGATTCGAGAACGGAGAAATAATCGACTTTAAATTTTTACAATTTGATAATGTTGAGCTGGTCATCGGAGTTTGTTGTTGGAGAAGAAGAAGAGGGTGACGGGTGTGAGGTTGTGGCGATCTCATGCCGCAACTAGAAAGGTAACTAGTCTTTTCTTTTTCTTTTTTTTCTTTCTTTTTTCTTCTTTTACCGAGAATCTACACCACCACCACCATGGTTGTCGATGTTCTACCCATCACCACCACAAGCCACCATGTGGTGTTCCAGTCCTTGTTCCTTTGTGATGGTTTTTGAGCAAATCATCAATCCTATGGTGCACAAGTAAAACCCTAAAGCTTTGGATCTAGGTTTCTCTATTGTACATGCAAATTATCGAAAGCTTATAAACCCTAATTCTAGCATACTAAAATCGAAATCTATAACAAAATAGATTTAGATGATTACCTTTCAAGAGTAGCAAGAATCTTCAATCTTCAAGAGCTTAGTATCACAAGTGTAATACCTCTTATGGCTCACAAACACCAAAGCAAGAAGAATGATCTTGGAGAGAGGAGATGGAGGCATAAAATCGGCTCTAAGAACTCTAGGGTTCAAGGGTAGCCGGTTTTGGATGCCCTAGGGTTCCTTTTATAGGTGTGCTGCTAGGGTTTCAGTCAAAACCCTAATTGGATAGCTTAGGCCTTAAGCTGTCCAATGGAACCTTTTGGAATAAGGCCTTAGACGATTACAAGGTGGGCTTCCACCCTAATTTCGTCCACCCCTTGATCCATAGAGATCCACAACCCAAAATCCAATTATCTTATAATTGTAATTCCAGTCCCCTAAGTTCAATTAATATATTTTTATCACAAAATTAATTCTTAATTAATTCTTGACCAATATCAATTAACTAATATGATTTCTCTTTTAATATATTATTCTTATAATATATTAATAAACCATATTATCCTCTCTCTCCACTAATCATCCAGTCAAGTTGCTATGGTGAAGGCAACCCAAAAGGACCATGCTACTATCGGGTCAAGTACATACCCAAATATAGTTATGGGCTTAGACACCTAATAAAACTGTTAGGTCATAATTATGTGGTTTGGGCTAGGCATCTTATTGTTTAAGTCTTGATAGAGTGGTAGAGTATGATTGTGGTGTTTGTAACATGTTTATGGTGTGTGCTGTCGTACATGTGTGTGCGGCCGCACACAGTGTGTGCGGCCGCACATGTGTGTATGGCTGCACTCTTGTGTGCTGCCTCAGGAGGTATAAATAGTCTGAGTCTGTGTCAGTTGAACAGTGACGTATGTGTGTGTGTTTCCCAAGGTGTACCTGACATTTATACGTAATAGATGTGTTCATGCTTGGATTAATTCTTCTTCTACTCCTTCTACACTCTGTCTGATTGTTTGCATTAATTGATCACTGATTTGGATCTATAGTTTTCGGGACTTACAATTGGATCTATAGTTCAAGAACGCTGTTCTTGATCATTTTTGCGTTGAGAAGGGTATTGTGCGTCAGTATAGTTCTGTTCGGACACCACAACAAAATGGTGTTGCTGAGCGAAGGAATCGGACGCTACAAAACGCAGCAAGGACGATGCTTTGTGATTCTAACTTCCAGTTTTCTTTTGGGCGGAGGCGATCAACACTGCGTGCTACGTTCAAAATCGTGTTCTTATCAACAAAGCCCAGATGAAAACACCATATGAACTTCTCTATGGACACAAGCCATCTGTTAGTCATTTTCGAATATTTGGCTGCCCTTGCACCTTTCTCCACTTGGAATCCAACCCAAAATTCAATGCAAAAGCCGATGATTGTTACTTTGTCGGTTACGCTGCTCGTACTGCTTACAGGGTATACAACAAGAAGACGAAACAAATCGTGGAGTCTTTTGATGTTCGTTGGCTTAAAGAGAATGAGACGGACGCTAGGGTGGGTCCAGATTGGCTATTTGACTACACATCGCTATTCAAATCTTTTTGTGTGTCGTCCAATAACCAAGCTGGGTCTACCTCTTGCTCGAAGACTATTATTGAAGACGAAGATGAAGAGGTTGTCTACAGACCACCATTGGTTTCTGCTACTGATCCTACGGTGGAGTCTACTGTTCCAATTGCTTCTCCTGAGTCCTCAACACAACAATCTGCTCCAGATGCTGATGCTACTCCTCTAACTCCCGTCGAAAGAGAGTTCATGAACCAAGATGCTTCTACTGTCACTCAGAATCTGATGGACCTTCTCTTTCCCGATCAAATTGCTGATGAGTTTGTAGCAAATCCACCAAACGAAGCTGGTACATCTACCGTGGATTCTTCAGCACATGAAGGAGCTGTTAATATTCATACTTTTCCCTTTTCACTCAATGACATCAGTCACGAAATCCCCTCTCGCATACAACGCGATCACCCGATAGAGAACGTTATTGGCAAGCTGGGCGACGGAGTTCAAACGAGAAGCCAGAGTGGAGATGTCAACACATGTCTCTATTCTTGCTTCATTTCTCAAATAGAGCCCAAGAACGTCGAAATGGCTTTGAATGAACCCAGCTGGGTGGATGTCATGCATGACGAGCTCAATCAATTAGAAAAGCTCGGGGTTTGGAAGTTGGTGGAGCTACCTAAAGGCAAGAAATATCTCGACACCAGGTGGGTGTTTCGGAACAAGCAAGACGATTCGGGTGTCATTGTCCGTAATAAGGCGAGATTGGTAGTCCGTGGGTTCAGGCAAATTGAGGGTCTTGATTATACAGAAGTTTATGCTCCGGTGGCGCGCTTGGAGGCTATCCGTATCTTCCTCGCCTATGCTTCCTACATGAACTTCACCGTATACCAAATGGACGTCAAGACGGCTTTCTTGTACGACAAGGTGAAGGAGGAGATTTATGTTGACCAACCTCCTGGGTTTGTTAACTCAAAACTTCCCAACCATGTCTACAAGTTAGACAAGGCTTTGTATGGGCTGCATCAAGCTCCTAGGGCCTGGTATGCTACCCTAGCACAACACTTGCTCAATCATGGCTACTCACGCGACACTATTGATCAGACCCTATTCATCAAGCATGTCGGTCCAGATCAAATTCTTGTTCAAATCTATGTGGACGACATCATTTTCGGGTCGACGAGTCCTCAGCTATGCACGGAGTTCGAGGACGTCATGAAAAAGCGATTCGAGATGAGTTCATTGGGGGAGATGACCATGTTTTTGGGGCTTCAGGTCAAACAATCTTCAGCCGAAATCCTGATTCATCAAGCCAAATATGTGGACGATATGCTCGAGAAGTTCGGGTTCAGAGACGCTAAACCTGCCTTGACGCCCATGTCGGAGAGACCACTGCTGACTCCTGATCTTGAAGGCTAATCCGTAGATCAAACGTACTACAGATCAATGATCGGATCGCTGATGTATCTGACTGCAAGTCGCCCAGACATTATGTTTGCGGTCTGTCAATGCGCGCACTACCAGGCTAATCCTAAACTGTCTCATCTTATTGCTGTTAAAAGGATTTTTCGGTACCTCAAAGGCAGCCCAAAACTGGGTCTTTGGTATCCAAAAAATTCCGAATTTGATCTTTATGCTTTTGCAGACAGCAATTACGGAGGCTGCGAGCTTGACAGGAAATCGACTTCAGGCGGATGTCAATATCTCAGAGATAGGCTGGTGTCTTGGCAATGCAAGAAGCAGCATACTGTCTCGACCTCAACAGCAGAAGCAGAATACGTAGCTGCGTCTGCCTGTTGTTCTCAAGTCATATGGATCCAACATCAGCTGTTGGATTACGGTTTGAACTTTCAAGAAACCCCTATTTTTTGTGACAATGAGGCTGCAATCCAAATTGCTAAAAATCCAGTTCAGCACTCAAAAACCAAGCACATCGACATCAAAGTTCATTTTATCAGAGATTGTTATGAGCGCTCGCTCATTCGGCTAGAACAGATTCCTACTGCTAATAATGTGGCGGATCTGTTCACCAAGCCATTTAACAAAGCTCGATTCGATGTGCTTGTAAACTTTTTGAAAATGATTCGCTTTGAGGATTAATTTTTGTTTAGGATAGTTTAAATTTGCGCATTTCAATTTCATTCTCACCCATGCACAAATTTAGGGGGAGAAATAAACCAAAACCAAACAAAAATTAGAAAATCAGAAAATTCAAAAACAATAGAAAATCAGAAAAATCAAAAATATCTTTTTGTGAAGTGATGTGCTGGGAAGTGATATTAACAAGTGATAAAAGACAATCTGAATCTGTGTAAAGTACCAAAGCTGAATTGCCTAGGCTCTGTGTTCGATGCGCTGGTAGGCACGAAAAATTTAATGGACTTGACTAGGTGCAGATGAACTTAAGGAATCTAGAAACTTGATAAATTCTGACCTAGATAGTTCCATTTAGCCTGACAATACGACGCTTGGATAGGTTGAGCAGGGAGATATACATGAGAATCCACCAGTTACATTAAAGAACCCATATCTAGAACTGTGGTTTAACTTTTCCTCGATGTACGGATTATGTCCTTAATTCCGGTATTGACGGAGCGACTGGGGAATTCCGATAAAGTGGGTATGTAGGAAATTATTTTCTTTCTCTCCTACTGTTAGTCATATGTTGCCTCCTCTGTGTGATCGAAAGATCCGACCTGGACTGCAACATATGCAACTCCATCTCTCTGCATCTTCTATCTATGCAATTCTTCCTATCTGTTAGCCATATGCTGTCTCCTCTCCGTGACTAACAATCCGACCTGGTACACAGCATATGCAACCTTCTACTTCTCAATCCCTCTGAAATTC